CCTAAGCCAGCAGGTCTTTATCCCCCAAGGGGTCCCAGACTGTGAGAGGGCACAGGCCGGGCTGAGAGACCCCCCCCCCCCCCCCGAGTGCACAAATTTTTGTGCACCGGGCCTCTAGTTAAAAAATAAAAGCTCAGAGTCTTGCCCTGGCCAGTGTGTTCAGTGGTTAGAGGGGTCACAGGTCTATTGTTAGTCAAGGGCACATACCATGGTTGCAGATTCAATCACCAGCCCTGGTTGGGGTAAAACTTTTTTTTTTTTTTAAGAATAGTTTATTGACTTAGAGCAAGAAGAAGGGAGAAGAGAGAAACATTGATGTAAGAGCTAAACATCGATGTGAGAGCTTAACATTAATCAACTGCCTCCTGCATGCCCCCTACTGGGCATCGAACCTGCAACCTGGGCATGTGTTTTGACTGGAATCAAACCAGCAACCTTTTGGTGCATGGGAGGATGCCCAACCAACTGAGCCATACTGGATAGGGCACAGTATTGTTTATTATTTCATTGTTTAATTACACCACAACTTAGTTACCTGTTCTTGTTTGGTGGACATTTAGCTAATTCCCCTTTTTTTTGCATTTATACATTTCTATGAATATTCTTGAGTGTGTTTTTTTGTGCACAGATGTGAAAATTTTCCTAGAATATATTATTAGGAGTGGATTTTGGGTCGTCTGCTAAACACATTTTAAACTTTAGCAGATATTACCAAGTTGCTTTCTAAAATGACTGTACTGCCCTGGCCAGGTAGCTCAGTTGGTTAGAGCATCTGATATGCCAAGGTTTCTGGGTTCGATTCCCAGGCACATACAAGAAGCAACCAATGAATGCATCAATGCTGTAAATGGATCAACAAATAATATTTCTCTCTCTCTCTCTCTCTCTCACTCAAACACAAACACTTGAAAACAAATATTTACACTAACATCCTCTATCACTCTGCCGGACACTGCAACCCAATTCCCTGGGGAGGGCAGAGGAGTAGGGGCGGGACTACAGCCGCATCATCACGCTG